ATACAAGTCGAGACGCCATTGCTGTTTTGCCTTGTATTCTCGGGGAATGAATTGCCCAGCGAATTAACTGCGTGTATTATGACCAAGGATGCGGTCAGTTGTGGTGCTGATAATAGAATAAACACAAACAGCACCAAATATGCAGTGCAAATCATTATGTCGGGGCACGAGTTCTGATTAGCACTGATTGCCTACATTGCCATGGGAACTGGCATTTTGCCTTTTCGATGACATTACGGGTTGGTGAATTAAGCAGTATAATTTCCAAATTCAAACTGCATTTGGCTGGATGAGATACTGACTCAGGTAGCCCGCTTGTCACACACAGGCCGGATTGACGTGCCTTTTCGCGTTAGACAAAGAAACACGGATCGAGCGAAATGAGACCACAATTACCACAGGTTTCTTTTCTGTATTTTCATTGGTCTGACCCACGTGTACCAACCTCGAGACAGTCGATCGATGTTTGCACATCTTCACTGGCCACTTGTGACCCGCTACACGCGTGCACGCCCACTCACCAAACGCGTGCACGCGCACACACACCTGTGCACAAACACACGCAGTTATAACCTGAGCACGAAGACCATCTGAGCAAGCAACACAGACGAACGCGAAACGAACCAATCAACGACATGGTTGTCACGGCTAAGCAAGCACACTATTTCCACCTTGGCTGGCGGCACACATTAATATTCTACGAATCTCAGTCCGCATTTCGAATGAGCGGGTTCGGAACACCGTATACACATACGCACAATCTAGGTGGCTTCAGGGTGGCTGCTTATAGATTGAGGTCAAGCGATAAAAGGGCAATTTGCTTATCTGATCGGTTTGTGTGTAGCTGCGTGTGTATGACAGGTTGCTCAAAATATTCTATTTCTAACTCGAAAACTGGACACCGTACAGTCGATTGATTGCCAACAAAGCGAGACCCGAACGGGACACAGTTCCCCGCAAGTCATGATGAGCTGACTTAAGAAAATATTAGATGGGTATGATGCAGTCGACCGTGCATATTTACCGCATAACATGATGCATACGAATTTATAACAAGCGCAAACTATCAACTTCAAAAATTGCACAAGTTCGCGGTTAGAACTTAGTTTGGCAGTTCAAACGTAGTCCTGTCAGTAGTCCAAACGATTATAGTAGTGTGTGAAGACATGTGATTAGTTCAGGCGTGTTATACATAACTCAAAACTTTGCTTTATATGTGGTCCATGTAACATGTAGCCTTCAATAAGTCGTCTATGACATCGAATTGGTGAGGGTTTCCAACTGGATGCACCGTGAGAGCTCCGGCTTCTTCGTACCAGCTGGTGTCAATGATCTTTCATCCATCGTTCTCGAGTTGCAGGTTGGCCAAATTTCATGAATATGCCCTGGGGACAAGTCATGTCAGTTAAGATTAAGCTGCTGTATAATATTTTCAGTGTTTCAATAAATTGATTCCATGTGAAGAATCTGTCTGCGGTAAATGATAGACCTGCATGGTGTCAGATAGAATAACTGTTATTTCAACTTTTCCGGGAGATTATTCTGGTGTGTATGTGTGTTTTAGAGAGTTGAGCTAATAGGTTTCCTCGGTTTTTAACCACCTTAACGATGGAAATCGTTCAGTAGTTGGTTCACCTCGACGGTCATTTTAATGTTCAATACATCTCTTGCAATAAAGCCTTTACTAGTCTATTTATGTGGCACTGTCCGATGACTCATCCGTATTGATGACCTTCCAATTCACACTGCCCAGATTTGCTCAGGTAGAGGAACAAAGATAAATCCGATCATCTTGCAGATTGACTCGAACGGAAAATAATAGATAAAATGAAACGGGACGCCTCTTCTCAGTGTGCAAGTGATTTCACCCTACCACAATTGATGAAGCAACTTGAGTCCTCCCAAAGGACAGCTGTTGAAGCATTCAAATTGAAATCGGAGCGTGTGTTTTAACGCTTTACACATTTTGCATCACTGAATTCATTGTGGTTAATGATGAAGCATGGATTAACTCCGCTGATTATTTCACAAAGTAGCATGCAACAGTCCTGAGGAGTTCTCAATGAATGTTCCATGGATTTGTTCGCTTATAGTTAGGTGAAAGTTCAGTCATAAAATCAATAGTAAATTATTGCAAAACACCTTTTCTGTTGAACTCTGCGAACCACAGTGTTGAGGACAGAAAGCAAATGAAAAACGAATTGTTCCGCAAAATGGCATAGCTGGTCCCGTAACTATCATTACAAAGATTGTATTCTATTTTATCGAGTAAGCCAAATAAGTGCTTAGTGGAAAGTATGCTTTGAAAGCGATTTAACTTTTTCTGGAATGTCAGTGCTAAAAGGGAATAACCGGTAGATTGAATTCTATAAAGAATTGGACGGGTTTTCGAGGACAAATAGTTACACTTACCTGGTTCTTATCCAGTTCACAATTCCGATATTCCTGTTCACCCTCTTGCTGAAACGTGACAATGACAAAACCAACGAAGATGTTGATCATAAAGAACGCGATCACGATTATGTAGGCCACGTAGAAAATGGCCACGATCGGCCGATTGTTGTATACTTTTCCGTAATCTTCAGCGTATGAATCGATCGATCTGGAGTTTGTATTTGACGGTTGTACAGGAGTGAGTGGCCAAGGGAGATAAATTCATTGTTGGAAAGATGTAATATTGGTAACTAAAATATTGGTTATCAATGCTTGCAACAATTATACAAACAATAGCTCCTAATGAAGAATCTCAGCTGCTATTTATTCATGAGAAAGAGTTTTAATTCTCTTGTTTAGAGATAAACATATAGATCTTTAGTAATTAGGTGACCATGGAGAAACCAAATAAATATTTAACACTTACAGTAGTTAAAAATGGTATCCTGTTCGAGACTTTGAAAAGAATCAGCTTGGAGGGCCAAGATGAAGTTGACGTTGATCTAGGCCTGAATTGATATCGCAACCTACGTGTAGCACTTATTAAAATCTAGGAAGGCATTTGAAGGACCTCGATGGAAGTGAACTGTTTTCACACTGACACAGTGTGTCTGAAAGTGGGAACTCGAAGCTCTCGAGGTTTTTCGTCATGTTTCATCTCTCTACATTTTCTCTTTGATTCTCACACATACGCGTACACGTAAACGTACTTCAAACATCTGTCAACCTTCTTCGCAATCAAGATTTCTTATTTGTCTCGTGACCGAAAGTTTTGATGTCATTGCAAAATTTCTCAATGTTTGTTTCCCTACACGTGTAACACGCGGATCGGAGCAATCCGCGAAATCGATCCACGTATCATACAATAACTTACCGGTACAACAGTCCGGGCCAACCTTCAAATGTGGACACTGCGAAGAGTGTGAGCATCGCGTTTGGAACATTGTCGAAATTTAGCGGATTGTTAAGCCAAATTCGTGAAGTGAGAACAGGACGATTGATGTCATTCGCCTCGTACGTGATAAACTGACCACTGTGGGGAACAATGAATAGTCGGGTAGAAAAAAAAAGTTTTAGGTTTTGATTGGAACTGAACATCCTTCAGACTTCACCTTCACACAAATCCTACTTTCTTATGTTCATAGATACACTCGGAAGCCTTAGACCCCAGTTTCGTTCTCATTAGAGCTCATCAGTGTTACATATCCGTCGTTCAGTCCGGGCTTTGAACTCCGGACCCATCGCATGGAAGGCGTGCGTTATCGTAATAGCAACCAATTCATAACATGGCTGAAACGAATCGCCAATTCATGTTTGTTCAGATATGCGCTTCCATCGATCATATACCTATAGAATAGCTTGAGTCAGGTATATCAAACAGCTCAAAAGAGAAAGTTGCAAACGGAAATATACGTATTTTTTCTCGTTTGTGTGTCTCACTCTGAACTGCATCTACCTCCAGTAGTGATATCAGAGTTTGCCTTCTTATGGTTGACTCAAATTCTTCGCGTACTTTGTCGTACTGGAGGAAATAAAAACAATCTGGATTGAAGCGGACGAACCATGTTCACATGTCTGTAAAACCTTTTCTCCTATTTTATTATTTGCATGTGACAGTTAGCGTATATGATTATTTTAAACTGAAATGTGAGCTCCAGTGCTTGCTAATTTATACACAATACAATTCAATACAACCCAATATGCTTTAGCCGTTTCTGTTCTACCCACAAAAATAGCATGTTTGTGTCCGTGTAAGCAACTGGTTTATTTTTGAGATATTCGGGTAAAACTAAACAAATCAACCAAGGTGAAAAAATGATCAATATGGTGCCGGGCTGACTGCACAGAAATAGCCAACTCAAATCAGGGTAAATGACGTTTGACTAAGGGTGAATGGGCGACCAATCTTGATAGTGGAATACCAGGCGAATGTGTTTCTCCGACAACAGTGGTTGTGATTAAAGTGATTCCCGCATTGGAACTAAAGAGAGGTCGCCATAATTACGGATATGAGTTATCTTGCAAATTTCTTTATCAGATTAATGCATTAATGGCGCTCCAGTTCGGCGTAATACGTATTTCATCACTGTAGTTAAGAGTATCTCGGTATGTCGTTGGTTTTGACTTAAAGTAAGCTGCAGAGGATTAGATTTGTTAGTTCAAATGAGTCACGCATCGGATCACAACTGATATCAGGGTTTGAGTCTCACTTGAGTTGATGAAATTTTGCCACTGATGACAAATGGCATGAAGGTCACCGCTTCACATATTTCTCTAAAGCACGTACCATTTGTAAACCCTGAAATCTAGCTCTATGAAAGTGTTAGGTATGGAGATGTGTATGATCCAGTTGCAACAGGATGATTTACACTTTCAGTGTTCCAAAAAGCATTCAGTTCCTGTGGTACATCTCATGCTATAAGAAGACGTGAATTCTACCACCACAGCTCAGGCTAAAATCCTGCCTACGAATTTGGATTTTGTTCCTATCGAATATGTGGAAACGTCTTACACTTCAATGGGTAACAAATCTGTGTTGAAGAGGAGCTTCTTCTCATACGCCTTGTAAATACTTGCAACAACATGCCGATGGACTTGTACCCAAGAAACCCTGTGCTTTTTGTTGCTTTTTGAAAGCCATTGGGTAGCACGTCGCATTTCGTGAAAACGCAAACAGAGCGATGCAACCACCGATCTGTTTGAGCTACCTCTCACTAGCGTAGCAAATGGATACCAATTTTCGTGGTTCCTCGTAACTATAGCTTCTC